TAGAGTCCATTGGTTTTATTAATATTTAAAGTTAGCTTATTACATTTAAACCAGTTTGATATATGTTTTAGTTCTTTATTCATAATGGTAAAGAGTTCATATATATTACTGCTTGAGAGAAAAAGGTTTGTATCATCTGCGTACATGATACTTATAAGGTTGGAAGCTTTATTCAAATCATTTACAGGAAAAGTAGGGGTCCGATGATTGAGCCTTGAGGAATACCGCATACGATATCAAGATAATTATTTTGATAACCATCGTTACTAATTACAAATTGTTTTTTTTTGAAGTAGCTTCTAAACCAATTTAAAGCAGTACCTTTAATTCCATAATATTTAAGTTTTTGCAGTAAAATATAGTGATCTACAGCGTCAAAAGCTTTTGAAAACAGATAGGTTAATGAAGATACCTAACAGGTACTGTGATTTTTCAAAAGATTTCGAGATTTCATGCACAAACTGGATTATTGCATACTCCGTTGAGTTACCTTTTTTAAAGCCGAATTGTTTGTTATATAGTAAGTCATTTTTGTTGAGATTTTTGTATATTCTGGTAGATATTATTCTTTCTAAAACTTTTGAAAATACCAAAACAGAGATGGGACGATAGTTGCTAATATTCGATCGCTCACCCTCTTTAAAAATAGGAGTAATTTTAGCAACTTTTAATTGCTCTGGAAATAATCCTTGGTTTATAGAAGCTTTAAAAACTTTAAAAAGAACATGTTTTAATATATCAAAACAGTCTATAATTACATTTCCATTAATTTCATCTGCTCCTGTTGCTTTGTTTCTTTTCAAGGAATTCAAAACTGCTTCAAATTCCTCAAAAGATAATTCTGATGTTAACTCATCGGAACAAATGCAATTATCCATAGGTACGATAAAATCATTAAAAGAAGTTGTCGTATTTGGAATCTTATTTGATAGAGAAGGACCTATCCCAATAAAAAATTTATTAAATTCATGAGATATGGCTCTTGGATCGTATAAACTGATGTTATCAACTTTAATCATCTGCGGCAGAAAACCTAACCATGATTTTTGTTTTCCAGTAATTTCTTTCATAATTTGCCATGTGCGTTTCAAATCGTTTTTAAATTTATTAATTTGTTCTGAGTAGTAATTTCTTTTTAAGCTTTTACGTATTTTTTCAAATAGATATTTGTAGTTTTTATATATTTTTTTGCTAACAGGTGTTTTTGTTTTTAGATATTTAATATATAACTTTTGTTTAATTTTTGACGATTTTTTTAATCCCTTTGTAATCCAGGGACTTTTTGAGCTTTTATTTGGTTTGATTATTTTTTCAACAATTGGAAAATTAGCGTCAAAAACAGAAAACAATGTTTTATAAAATGTTTCGTTGATGTTATTTGCATTGTCATTAAAATCAATATGATTCCGATGTAGTAAAGATAGCTGATCTTTAAATTGCTCAAGATTTCTTTGTTTGAAAATACGTTTTTTTACAACTATTGGGGTGGTAATATTTTTTTCTAAATTTGAGTTTAAAATTAGGAATATAGGAAAATGATCGGATATATCAGTTTTTATGATACCTTTTTGAATACCTTTCTTAAAAATGTCTGTTGTAAAGTTTATCTATTAGGGTAGCCGAGTTTATTGTTACCCTAGTGGGGCGATTAATAAAGGGTATAGATCCTGTTTCAAAAATTGTGTCAAAAAATTTTAACTTTTTGGCCATCGTTATATAGACAAAAATTCATATTAAAGTCCCCAATTCCAAACCTTTTTTTTTTTATCTGCGTCACTTCTTTCCACAATATGTTGTAAAAACATGCTTAGGTTTTCGCTCGCGCCGTAAGGTGGTCGATAAGATCAGCTTAGAATGTTTTTTGTTTTTTTAAGTAAAAGTTTAATTGTTAAAACTTCTTTATCGCCATCGGAGACGATTAAATCATTTCTCATATTATAAAATATATTTTCATGAACATAAATTAGAAATCCTCCACCCCGTTTATTCGTTTTTCTTTCTTGTGAGATAATTTTAAAATGAGGAATATAAAAGTTATTTTCAAAATCGTTTTGTGTAACCCATGTTTCAGTTAAACAAATAATATTAAAAAAAAAATTTTGTTTCTTCTAAAAAATTTAGAAGTTTTTCAAATTTTTAATTTACATTGAGGTGGAGAATTCTAATTCGATTTGAACTTTTTTTAATTGCATTTTGAAAAAGAAAACCTTTTAATTCTTTAGAATAAAAATAAGGACAATCAGGAAATGTATCGCAAAAAAAAATTATCTATCACTATGTTTTCATCAGAGGAAAAACGGTTTCCTTCATAAAAATTCAAAGTAATGGATTCAAAATCATTCAATAAAGCCATAGTTATTAAAATTAGGTTAACTAAGGTTTCTTTTTAAGAATGCGTAATTCGGCTATTTGTTTAGAGCGTTTTTTAAAACATTATTTTTATAAGAAATAATTTTATCTTAACCAACCGAAACTTTCTCACCATTTAAACGTCGTTCTTTTACTTCCGCAAACAATTTTCTTCTGATTGCAACCGTTTCACAAGAAAAGTTTTCATTTACATAAATGTTTGTTCCTCTGAGACGAGTGGATTCTTTTAAAATTTTAGTTTTGTCTTTGTATTTTTGAAGTTTTAAAACTATTACCCTCGGACGTCCAACTTTTTTTTGCCCAGTACGATGTGCACGTTTAATTTTAATGTCCTTTAAAACTAGCTTTTATAGAAAAAATGAATGAACTTTTTCTTCGGTTTCTTCCCAAGATTCAATTTCGTCTTCACATATTCCATCAATTCTTATGTTACCTCTTCGAGATCTATCTTCGAAATTTCGGATTTTTTCATTTAAAAACTCATTGTTAATTTTCTCTTTCTCTTATTGTTTGTTATCGATTTTGTTTAATAAATTTTTGTTGCTATTTTTAATCTTTTTATCGATTACGTGTTCGTTGAAGTTTAAACTTTCCTTTATCTCTTCAAGCTCTTTTTCAATTTTTTTAATCTTATTTGCATTTGCAATGATATTTGTTTCAAATTTATCCAATCTTTCGTTGAGTATTTTTGTGTTCGTACTAACGATAGCAATTACTGTTTTTTTTTGTTTTTAAATATAACTTCTGTTTCCTTCTTAAAATCATCCAGCATTTCTTTCATCATTTTTTTTATTTCTTGGAGTGTTACCGCCATACTTGATAAGATATTGATAAGATCTTTTTAGTTGATTAATGTTTCTATCTTATTATCTTTAAGTTTATTTGACTTTTTATTTTATTTGACACAAAAATTTCACTGTAGTGGATATTCATGATGGCTAATGAACCAAGTGTATCTGCAGACATACTGGCTCTCAACCATGTTTTTAATCTTCGCATTGCTGAAAATCTGCGTTCACGTTTACGGTAGTGTACATCCAATCTTTAGAAGCTCAAAGAGATTAGGATACTAATTTTAATTGCAGATTTTAATGGCTTTAGCTAGAGTATTAGGCCTATTTTCAGGTTTAATAACACATCATTTTCTTTTCTAAAACATGAATTCCTTATCTCCTCACTGCAAATTATCGAGGAAACCAAGCATAAATCCATAGCAGCAATGCAATTTATCTTTTGGAATCGCATTTTGATTTTTGAAATAATAGTGTCGGGAAAAGGTATAATCAAGGTCCGCTTGTAATACTTATGGGGACTCTCTGCATGTACGTTATTTCTGTAGGCCTGTTTTATAGTGATTCTAGGAATCGTTGGTCTTACAAATAATTTACTTGCGTACTAAAAGCTTGTTGGTAAATTGCGTAAGTTTCTTTTTTAACTTTTTTCCGTAGATGGTTCAAATCGTCGATTGTTTCTTGAAGTAAGCGGTACAAGGTTATAATATCAATTATGAATTCGAACTTAGTGAGTGCATTAAGGAGTGAGTTAGCCTCTCTTTTTCCTTGTGCGTCCCAATCCATTCTAAACTCTATATTGAACTGTTCTATATTAGGGTGTATTCCTAAAATAATCTCTAATGCCTCTGCGATGAACGGTATAGCTAAATAAAAGTGTTCATATGCGGCATCTCTTTTTGACCATTTTGTTTTTCACATCCCTACCAAAATCTTTTTTCTTTAAGTTGATTTACAACGATCTCTGCAACATGCTCCAGCAAGGGCTCTCTTTTCGAAGAGGTAATGAAATAAATGGATATATTTCTGTATACCTCTAAAATGTTATCAATGATTGGTATTTTTGATGTTGCAGCAATTAATAAATTCAAATTATGTGAGCTACAATGTAATACAATTGCTTTAGGTGATCCTTTTAAAATATAGCTGGCAACACTTTTCTTTACAGATTGCATGTTTGGTGTGCAATTGTAACACTAGCCTCTACAAGAACTAAGATCAATTTCACTTTTGCTATAAAATTTCATCAAGCTTCCCCCGATATGTTTGCCTGTTATCTTGTCAAGATTCAAAAAGTCAAGAAATACTTCTCTAATTTCTTTTTCTCCGTTTACGTATCTCATACATACTGATAGAATTTGTTGGTTTGCAGTTGTTACCTCATCTGCTGAAATTGAATGGTAATTTGCAGCTTTAATTTCGTTAATTAGCCGCTCTTGTATACATTTCTTTCCAATTATATAAATTAATTCATTTTGACTTTTGTGGCCACGATAGCTGACATCTTTGCGTACCCAGTGGGCATACGTCGTCCACACGACGTCTAGAGGACGTTACAATTCCGTCCGTCCGTCCCCTCTTCATGTTGTACGTCCTACGGACGTCTTACGGAGGTCTTTTATTATATGGTTTTAACTACATGAAAACAGACGTCCATTAGACGTCCGTAGGACCAAGAGGGAATGAAATTTTGTGAAATATACCGTCCGTTACATAAATGAAGAACCAAAAGATCTTTTGATTTTCCATCAACCAATGGGATTTAATTAAACCCAATTTGAAGATTTTATATCAACGAGCTTGAAGTTACTTATTCAACGAGGTTTGAACTATTATTCAACGAGGTTAATGAGTTTTTTATACTCATTCAATAATTTTTTATAAAGTTTTGTTGTTCTTCTGACAACATTAACCTAATATTAAAAACGTAAATATTATTTTAACATGAATCGACGTTCTGAAAAAGTGAAAAAGATAAGGTAATAATTTAGTTTCATGGTATCACTAAATTAGTTTTATAATATAAAACTTATTTAGTAAATTATATAAATGATTTTTCTCTTAAAAATCAAGGAACAAGTTTTTCCTAACCATTAGGGAAATGCTAATTATGCCTAATGTCACATTAATGGGCACCAACAGGTTTTTTTCTTCTGCAAAACTCAGCAAATTTAAGCTTCGAAGCTTAATTTGAGAAGCTTTGAGATGCTTCTCTGAGGGCATCAACAGTCTGTCGATGCCCTGAAACTTTCAAGCATTTTTTAAACTTTGCACAATTTAATTCCACATATCAATTTATAAATTAATTTTTTCAGTAAAGATGCTTAAAATTACATTAAATCTACTGAAGGCTTCAGTAAATACAAAAATAATAATAAATTCATACAAAATAGGAGTACATTTAAAGGGTTATTAAAGGATAAATTCCAGAATTTTGGATAATCGCTATAAATAATGAGCTTTTTGTGAATTTTTTTAAAAGGGATTCAAAATTAAAAAACTAAAAATACAAAAACTTACTATAGAAAGTCCCTATAAAAAGTCCCTATAGAAAGTTTTTGTATTTTAAGCTTCAGTAAGTTTAAATTAGTTTTAAGCTTATTTTGCAAAAAGTATTAATTTATAAATTAAATTGTGGAATTAAATTGCATGAAGTTTAAAAAAGAATTAAAAGTTTCAGGGCATCAGCAGTCTGTTGATGTCCTAGGAGAAGCTTCTTATTAATTAATATTAAAAAAATATCAAATATCCATATTTTGTAAGAAATAATTTAATATAATAAATAATAAAATTAATGGCTGAATTGTTCCTCCTCCTCCTTTTTATTTTATTTTTTAATGGACACATGATTTTGCCCTTTAGCCACACCAATTTTAATTTTTTACCTGTTTAATAATGATTTAATTTAGTATCTCCCACAAGCCAAGACTTTTTTCAAATTTTTTATGTAATTTAATTATGCTTATTTTAAATTTTGTCAAAAGGGACCGACATTTTCGATGGCGTCGTCGTCGTAGTACTGTGCGTGCTTTATCTGAATTGGTTTCTCTCAGCCAACACGAAGTTAAAAATGATAGAGAAATTCCAAGTTTTAGCTCTAATGGACATAATAGTTCAAATAGTCAATGTTTTGCATTAAACTGCAGCTTTTCAAGTTCAGGCAACAATGATAGTAGCGGCAAGATTTACAGCATTTCTTCCAGTGAGTCATTTAATAATTCTGTTTTGGCAAACAGTGACGAGAATGCTGATATAAGATCTTGTGAATCAATTACAGAAAGTATTTCTCAAAACTCGAAAGAAGAGAATGATCTTTTTCCAGATTCCCAATTTGATTCTCTGTTTTGCAAATCATTAAAACTTTGGTCCTTAAAACATGGGTGTACCCAGCAATGTATGAATGATTTGTTAGTGCTTCTTAGTCAAAAAGTCCATTCTTTACCCAAGGATTCTCGTACAGTATTAGGTACAAAGAATACACATAATATAGTGGTTGTCGATGATGAGGCATATGTATATTTTGGTATAGAAAATAACATCAAAAGAATATTGAGTTTACATGAATATCAATCGCAGAATATATGTTTAAATATAAATATAGATGGTCTACCTATATGGAATTCTAGCTCGTATCAACTATGGCCGATCTTACTTCAGTTTGGAAAGTTTAAACCATTTATGGTAGGCTTATTTGGTGGCAAATGTAAACCAAAAATGTCAAAATTTCTTTCAGAATTTGTTCAAGAGTTGAAGGAACTTTTGTCTAGATCAGTATTAAACATCAAGGGTAAACAATATATTTTATCAGTATTTTGCTTTGTATGTGATGCCCCAGCAAGAGCGCTATTAAAAGGCATTGTTAACCATACTGGGTTTTACTCTTGTGAAAGATGCACTATAAGAGGAATCCAAAAACACAAAAGGACTGTGTTTAATGATTTAGAAAAAAATGTTACTTTACGCAATAATGACATGTTTTCTAACCATTCTTACTCTTTTCCAGATAACAGTGGGAAGCGACATCAACACTCTTATTCATGTCTGCTTCCATTGCCAATTAATTTTATTCAAGATTTTGTATTAGACTATATGCATTTAGTTTGTCTTGGAGTGGTGCGGCGTATATTATATTTTTTTAAAGGTACATATAGTGGTATATTTGATGGTCGGTTGTCTTCTGCACAGCAAAATATAATTTCTGAGCAGTTATTGAAATTTAATGGAAGATTGCCAAGTGACTTTGTCCGCCAACCAAGGTCATTATCAGAATTGAATTGGTGGAAAGCTACTGAGCTACGTAGTTTTCTTCTTTACACTGGTTTGGTTGCACTGAAAAGTGTGTTAAGTAAACAAAGTTACAAGCATTTTTTGAGTTTGTCAGTTGCTATTCGAATGCTATGCGAGAAGAACGCTATTAAACGAAATAGTAACATTGAGTCGGCTAGACAGTTACTTAATTACTTTGTTAACAATTCCAAAGAGCATTATGGCTCTTCTTTTTGTGTATATAATGTACATGGACTGTTACACATTGCTGATGATGTGGAATATTTTCAGTGTAGTTTAGATGAAATATCTACTTTTCAGTTTGAAAACTACTTGTATGAGATAAAACAATTAGTTCGGGGAAAACATAATCCAGTTATGCAAATTGTTTTGAGGCTAAGTGAGCTTGAAGATAATCCAACTTTAAAGGAAGGAAATATTTTCAAGATACGAGTTGGTAAAAAAGATTCATGTTATTTGGTTCAGAATGGTATTGTTAAAGTCACTGCTATATGTCGAGATGGAGGCTTTCAATGTGAATTTTATCCAAAATCTGCACTTAAATATTTTTTTACCCATTTTGTTGACTCAAGAGACCTTGACATATATTATATTAAAGAAAATGCCTGCTCCATAAAATGTTTTATTCAAAGAACTGATATAATTCGAAAATGTGTTTGCTTACCATATCGAAATAGTTATGTTATAATACCTTAAATGCATGATGTATAAACAAGTTGGAGTGGTTTTAATAAATAAATGTCCTTATAATCTTTTTTTTTTATTCAATGTTATTAGGGGTGGGTGAGACAATGTTAATATTAAATGAGGCGGAGAAAAAAGGTATGGTTCCGCTTCAAGTATGTAAAGGTAAGTAACTTCCAAGTATTTACTCTTGGGCTCCTCATTTTTTCTTTTTTTTTCTTTACAAAAAAAAAACATTTTGAGGATAGAATGTAAGTACCATTACCAGTTTTATTAGTTTATTTATAAATTATCACATAGACATGGTTTGGATGAAAGACTAGAAATCTACAACACAAACATGCAGCTGAATGGAGCAGAGTAGCTGGTCATTTTTTATGGTCTCTGGCTCATTTCGGCCCCCATGGCTCTAATTTTTTTCATAAACCTCTGGCTCCTAAGGTTCCTGCTCCTCGCCCTTAGTTGTTATGAATATTTGTTTGCTTTCAATATATTCATACAAAATGGGAGTACATTTAAAGGGTTTTTAAAGGATATGTTCCAGAATTTTGGATAATCGCTATAAGTAATGAGTAATTATGGTCTAAATTGATTAACTTTGCAATGAATAATATTGCTTATCTTTTCTTTAGATATTGGGCTGCATGTGTTGTCCAAGAAAATGGCACAGAGTGGAAAACCATTGTGCCCTGCCCATGGGTTGATACTTTAAATCAGCAAATCTTCTGGCCACTAAATGAATCTAAGTCTTTAGATTTCTATTTTAAACAACATGAATCGCCTGAGCTTACTTGGGTGACATACCCAATAGTGGAGTTTTTGCTTCACCAAGGCACTCACGAGGAAGCACAGGAGTTGGTTGATTTTGCAACTACAGCTAAGAATGTTTCATCTTCTGATGATGGCAACGGTACTTGATGTTTTCTTTTTTCTTTAGATTAATTGCATATTTTTTACCTCTGATATAAAATATTTTATATCAGAGGTTAAAAGCAACTTTTTTTTTCTTACTTTAGATTCAAAGAATATGAGAAAAAATCAATAGTTATTCATTAATTTACTTTGTATAATTGTATAATTAGATTTAGAGTTGTATATATATATATATATATATATATATATATATATATATATATATATATATATATATATATATATATATATATATATATATATATATATATATATATATATATATATATATATATGTTTAGCATTGCCAAAGAAACACACTCGGACTTTAAGTCCAGTTTTAGAAGTTAAGAAATCATACAATAAGAAAGAGTCTTCTACTAATGTAAATTTAGATAGAAAACACTTCAGAGAAGAGAATCTTCCTGTCTTTGTATCATCATCTTCTTTTTTAAGTTCATCTATGCAAAAAATTAAGTATACTAATTCAAAGCAAGACAAAGATAAAAAAGCAGCACACCCACACACCACACACCCTGCTTTAATTGTATCACCATCTTCTGGTGGAACTAACAGAGAAGAACTTTTAGAAACCTCTCCTCTTTCATGCTCTGCTAGCAAAAGTAGATCATCTCGTAAAACATCCTTAATTACTTTTGCTGATGGTGGAGCCGGATTCAAGGAGATGACAAATAAACGTATGTTCATTCAACACATTGATTTTTTGTTCACATTTCTATTTTAATTTAATTTCTTTTTTAGTTATAAATTCATTATAAACATGAGCATAATTGTTTTTTAGAGTTTCAGTATGTTATGTTAATGAAAATGGAACAATTAGAGGATAACCAAATCCAGATTACAAATTCATTAGCATCTCTAGTTGATGGTGGTAATGGTGATGCAAGTGTTGTAGTGGAAGACATGCAACCTATGCTATCAATTGAAGAGTTCGACATAGAGGAAATAAAACTTCAAAATAAAACATACCGAGATAAAAAGGTAATTATTCATAAAGCATTATTATCATATGCAACAAATACATTTTTTTAATTAACTTCTTAATTAGTTTATGCCTTTATAATTTTCTATTCTACAAGTTTTATTCTATAAAGGTTGTTTAGTGATTAGGTTGAGGATTTGGATGCATAGATAAAAATATATATATCTTTTTTTTTTTTGCTGGTTTTTTTAAACATTCTATAAAGGTTTTTAAGAAGGCCATATATTACTATATCTACCGTCTAGTATATAGTATCGAACGGTTTAAAATTTATGAGCTGGAATTAGGATGAAAATTCGTTTAAAACAGATTAAAATGTCTAAAGGAGTAATCTTTGTAAACTAAATTAGAAGTTAAAAAAATAATACAAACTTTTAATGGAGGCGATGATACCTTTCATAGTTGCAAGTTGTTATTACATCGCAGCCTTGAGTTGTACATAAGATATAATTGCCCCATCAAAACTTTTTTTATACTGTTTTTTTAAACAATTTTGTGCAGGCATCTAAATTTTTTGACTTTTTTATGTGAGTTAATTAGAATATTTCGAAAAGAATGTTTTCCCTGATCAAAATAAAATTTATAACTTTTATTATATAGAAAATAGCTATAAAGACACTAGGAGGTAAGGATTTGCGAGCATCTGTAAGGCTTGCATTAGATGCTTTGATGGCTCGTGACGTCCAAAACCTATATCCAAAACCTAGCAAGGATGGAATATCCGGGAAAAAAGCATTTTCAAAGACAATGCATTATCGTTGCTTGCTCGGTATGTATTTTCAATAATTGTTATTTCTCTAATTATAAATCGTTAATTTAAATATTTCATAATAGCTAATCATTTAATGAATAAATGACTGGAAAAAAAATCTTCGGTTTCCTCATCCAATGCTGCTGATCGCCATTAATACTAAGTGGTCTCCATAAAATTAGCTGAACTCATTATTGTTTGTTAATTATCATTAGTTATTGATATGTTTTCACGCAACATTTTTCTCATTTTTAGGAGCGTTTCTGGATCCTACAAAAAAATTTACAAAGGATATAATTGATTTTAATGTTGGAGACTTGCTCAAAAGAGCGAAGATTCGAAATAAAGCTGACAGTTTTAACAAAGAGAATAAACAACCTAATAATTAATGTTATTTTGTTTTAAGATTTTTGCGAATAAATATTAATATAATATTATATTTTTGTTGTTTTTTTTGCACTGAGAGAATTTTAATTAGTTATTAGCTAGCATTATTAATGGAAATTCGGTCATAAACAGCAGATTGCAAACAACTTAATTTGAAAAAAAAATCTAAAATAATGGACTTTTATAGCACTATTATATACTGTAGCGGGTATTGGATTTTAGGACGTCCATAAGACGTAGGTTATACGTCCATACGACAAATTTTATGACGTCCTATGGACGTTTTTATTTCGTCCCTTTGGGACGGACGAAAAGCGTTTAAAATAGTACGTCTTTAGGACGTCGCCGGTTCGTCCAGTTAGGACGTCTCCTGGTCCAAAACGGACGTCTACTGGACGTCTCATGGACGTCCCAATGCCCACTGGGTAACAGTGTTTGTATATGTGCATTAAGCTGTATAAGAATTATGCGTTATGGCTATTACTTGCACAATTGCAAGAAAGTTTCCGGATTACTTTTTTGATCTGAGTTATCCATACACTTTTCATAAGTTCAAAAAAATGCATATCCTTGTTTCCCCATCAAATGCACTATTCTACCTAATGTTTTAACAATGTACGGGTACATTTGTTGTCGGTTTTTTAAAGAGCTATCGCTTTGTAATGGACTGGTTTGTCTTGGATCTTCAAAACGACAACAAATGCCAATAGCTTGTTTGATAGCTTCTTTATGGTATCTGTTGCCCATATATAGTTTTTGTTTCTCTAAAACATTGTGTCATTCCTTATATCCACGGTTAACAAAAGCTCCCAAAGATTTTTTTTTATCCTGCTTTAGAAATAAAGTACAGTATATGCAGCAGACTGCGCCTTCACTTTTGCTGTAGATAAATCGATTTTGTAAATATTCTTCTTTACAACCATGTTAACATTTTGTATATTTCATGTAGTGATGATTCTTGATTTCCGAGCAAAAGTTCTTCAGTATCATATCGTTTTACTTCTTCTTTAAAATCACATTTTTTTAAATTTGTTTGGTCAACTTTGCATGACAGGCTTTTGTTAACATAATTATCATCTTTAATGACTTTCTTTTTTCTTCTACTTCGGGTAACGTTTTATCGGTTACATTTTGAGAACAGTCGATAATAAAAACACTTAAAACGTAAGTAACTAATAATAAACTCTCAGATCTTAAATTATAACAAAATTAAAAAAACTCGCGTAAACATTACAATAAAAAACAAGTAATAACAAAAGTACTACCATAAAAAAATATATACATAATATATATATATATATATATATATATATATATATATATATATATATATATATATATATATATATATATATATATATATATATATATATATATATATATATATATATATATATATATATATATATATATATATATATATATATATGTATATATATATATATATATATATATATATATATATATATATATATATATATATATTTATGTAAAGATAATATCTATATCTAGTTAATATCAAACTAATCAAACTATTTATTATAAAAAGAAGATTAAAATAACTTTTTTACTTAAAATATCCAGCAAACGATTTGTATTTCTTTGCAGCATTTTGAAGCTCTTTTCTATCAACTGCTCGTTTTCTAATTTGGTTAGGCATGTTAACTCTATCGTTTGCTTTTAAAAGTGAATTAGTATTAGTAGAGAATTGTAATTGCAGTATAAACTCCGGAGAGACTATTTTTCATTTTTAGTTTACAAAAGATTTCACAGTGCAATGACTTGTAATGACGCCTTTTTGTGAAACAATAAAGTAAAATTGTTTCATGATAATGATTCATAAAAATCAAATAATTATCATAAAATTTTGATTAAATATTTTGATATTTTGATATATATATATATATATATATATATATATATATATATATATATATATATATATATATATATATATATATATATATCATAGATTAAAAAAAACTGATTATGTTTGTCTCTAAAAGTCTCCGCCAAATGTGATTACTAAAAACTTAACAAAGAAATTTTAATTTTCGGATTAGTTAAACAAACGTCATAAAAAACAATTGCAAGAAGAGTCTCCTGCATTGAAAGTTTAACAAATTTTGTAAATTTTTTAACTGATCTTAATACTCAGGCCAATATTTCATTTAAATATCATAATATTACAGTTAATGAGGGGTTAACTTCATAAAGTAAAGTTTTTAATTATAGTTAACATATTAAAACTCTTTGTTATGTTTAAAAATTCAAATGCACTAACGTAAAATGAAAACATCAGAAAAAAGTTATTAAGTTTATTGCATTGCAGTGCATTGAGTTCATTAAATGTAACGGTTTTTACAACATTCTTAATTTTTAAGTTTAATCGTTTGCAGTTATTAATGTTATTATTTTTTAAAAAGATATGTATTCCGTTTATTCTTTTCCAGTTTTGGTAGCATTTCTTTTATACATTGAAAATCCAAACGATAAAGACATATATGAAAATGGTATTGTTTTATACATTTTTATTGAACAGAAATTAAATTAAATTAAATTAAAAAAAAAATTGTTTTATTTTGTATATTATTTGGTTTAAAATTTTATCTTGGCTTTTTAACATTTTATCTTGGTTTTTAAATATTTTTGCATAGAGATGTATTATTATTACACTACAGACATTGTATTTTTATTAAAAGTTAACCATATATTGTAAAATATATATTTAGTTATTATGATATTAAACGGCAAAAATAAAATAATACAAAAAAAATAAAAAAATAAAAAAAATAATTTTTTTTTTTATTAATTAATCTAATTTAATTTAATATTTTCATTATTTTAATTAGTTTATTTATTTTAAAGTATGAAATAAGTAATTAAGCAAATAGAGTAAAAATAGTTTTTATTCTATTCTCAGTTATTCTAACAACTGAACATTTTTGATTTATTTTGAATTGTTCAACTTTTGTTTTCTAAAACATATCATTTTATAATATATATTTTAGTTTGTGTGTGTGTGTGTATATTTATAAAGATGTCATCTTTATAAATATACACATGAGTACTTCATCTTTAAACATCCTTCTAGTAAAACATTTTGTGAAAGATGTTGTACTATGAGGTGTTGAATGGTTTTGTTTTATGAGTTTATGAACATCTTTTTTCCAACTTTTTGCCAGAGTAGCATTAATAGTGTTATCCATAGTTGCCATTAGTAAAACATTCTTTATCTTTATTGAAGTCTTATTACATTGACTAGTGTTCAAAGAGTGGTTTACATTAGTAACATTCAGACTGCTTTAAATAGCATTGCTAACTTCAAAATAAAGTACTTTATTTTATGCCCCCGAATCACAAGACCAGATATGGTAGATTAAGGTAATATGAACACTTTGGTATTAGGAGTATACTAAAATATTTCTAAGATGTTGATGCAGTGAACTTAAAGTTGTTTTGAATTTATTGAATCGACTTAATGTGTTGGTAACAGAAATCAGTACAATTAGCATAAATTTAAATGAAGTAATTAGCGGCTCTCATCTAATTTAAGCACTATTAATTTTTTTGCTTTTTTAAAATATTATCATCGTGCATAAATAAATCTGTGGCGCAAAATTTTGATGCTAAAATTAAGGGGTGGATCCTGCATTTTTTGGTCGTTGAGATAGCTAACTTCCATACATGGAGCAAACTCCAAATATTTATATGTTTATACTTATGTCAAATAAGGATGCTTTGCAAAAAATTGGGGTAGGAACAAAAAACCCTAAAAGTTTTGCCCCCTCCTGCCCCAAACGTGAGAGCAACAAGTTGATGAAATTTTTTTGTACTACTCTCAACTAGACTTATACTCATCGATAAATTTTAAATTTTATAGTAAAATATTTTAGCGTTCAAAAATTTAAGCCATATAAAGTTTAAACCGCCTCAATTTGAGGGGGTTGCAAAGTTTATATGGTCATTATTTTCAAACACTGAGAGATAATACTATGATACTTAAAGCTTATCAATGAATATAAGTCTAGTTGAGAATAGTACAAAAAATATTTCATCAATTTGTTGCTCTCACGTTTGGGGCAGGAGGGGGCCAAAAATTTTAGGACTTTCTTATTCCCAGCCTCCAATCATCGCAATTTTTTGCAAAGCATCCTTATTTGACATAAGTATAAACATATAAATGTTTGTAGTTATCTCCATTTTTGGAAGTTAGCTATCTCAAAGACCAAAAAATGTTGGATCCGCCCCTGAGCTAGAAATCCCTTTCATTTTTACTTGAAAAACAATCCATAGAAACATTTAGTTTTGACTTTATTCAAAGATACCATTTTTGTGTAATATGAGCATGCTCAAATTACCCAGTGTTTTTCATTGAACTTACCAAGTTTAAAATTGTAAAACTACAGTGGTTTCAATTTCTTTTTGAATAAAAACATAGTAAAATTTTTTTAATTTAGTAGATATCTTTCTGTAATTTAAATTCAAAAAATTTGTAATTTTATCGTTTTAAGGTTTGAGTTAATAAAATTGAAAAATAACGACCTATTTTTTTTTTTTTTTTTTTTTGCGTAAAACAAAGTAGTATTGTTTCAAGAAAAAATGGTATAAAGTTTGATCTTTTAGTGACAAGTTTTGTTAATAACGAATCATTATATTCCACAGTTTATTTATAATTGCCAGGATAATATTTTTTTACTTAATTTTATTTTTTTGAGCTAATTTAAAGTGCTGATATTACCAAGTGGTCTGGGTAATATAAGCACTTTTGCTATTTTTTTAAAGCCAATGTGTTTTTAAGAAACAATTTTGAGTGCCCAAATATTTATGTGAATTATAAGTGATCCCTGAAAATTTTTTCTTCGCAAAAAATTTTTGATCCAGCATAATTATTTTTTAAAATATTTTAATTATCGCTTATGGTGCTCATAATACCCCAATCTTACTTTTTTGCAAACATATATTTTTACAAACTTAAATGAAAATCAAGATTTAATTAAAATTTGCATGCTCGCTAAACTTTTATTACATTCGAACAATGTTTGGTTTTTCAATTTTAATTACTTTTAAATTAATATTGTTTTTAGATGACTCCTCGAAAATTAGCATTCAAAATGCGACAACGCAACATACATATCCAAGTTCTAATAATTTAGAAAGTATAATCTATAAAAATGAATCAGAAGATATAGAGTATTCTTTAATAAGAGATCTTGGTTCCAACCATTTTGTTTATAAAGTTGAGTTGAAGAATAATACAGGCGTAAAAGTAAATCACGTTTCTCATGATTCTGAAAAACGCTCTAACTTTAAAGGTGATAAGTATTTAAACTTTTTTTTACTAAAATACCAATGTTATTTGGAAGAAGTCTTTTTAACATAAAAACTAATAAAATGAATATTTAAAATGTTTCAAGTTTAAATAGACATTTTAAAAATCTTTTTTAGTTTTTACTATTATTGAAATAATATTCAACCTTGTGACTATGTTTCTTGTGACTATGTTTCTTGTGACTGTGTTTCTTGTGAATAGGTTTCTTGTGACTATGTTTCTTGTGACTATGTTTCTTGTGACTATGTTTCTTGTGACTATTTTTCTTGTGACTGTGTTTCTTGTGAATAGGTTTCTTGTGACTATGTTTCTTGTGACTATGTTTCTTGTGACTATGTTTCTTGTGACTGTGTTTCTTGTGACTATGTTTCTTGTGACTATGTTTCTTGTGACTATGTTTTTTGTGACTGTGTTTCTTGTGACTGTGTTTCTTAAATATTTTTCGCCAGGTTCAGTTCAAATTTTACCCAAAAGAAATGCTAAAATGTCAAATTTTGATAAAAAACGCTAATTTTCAGACTTCGATGTTTTTAATGTAAAATCTAAAAATTTACATAATAAGGTTGTTACTTTATTATTTTAGATCTACTTGCTGCACTCAAATCAACTTCATACCTTGTTGAACTATTAGTGATGTTCTTAATCACTGATTTTATTATTATCTTTGGTTTGATAACAGTCAATATTTTAGCGTAAGTTACACGCATTGTTCAATCTTTCTGTTTTCTTTTATTTAAAGCGTAAACTGAATGTACTTTTTTCATTATCATAGCAAAAAAAATGCTTTTTAGAAGTTCTATAATAATAAAAATAAAGCTAAATTAAGTTTAAAATTGCGAACTTGGTTTTGATATTTAAAAAAAAAAAATTTATATGCAGGACTACATTAATACGTTACGTCATGAAAATCGTTAATTGGTTACATTTTCGTGTAAGCTCTATTACGTATTCTACTATTTTTCCAGAATCAACTTTAAGTCATAACAAAGGTTTGGATCGAGAAGTCTCTTTATTTAAAGAAATTGAAACAGCTAATGAGCAGAGGTGTTCATCTATGATTGAAACTAAAAAGTGTTCTCACGATATCAAAGAAAAACACGATGACGCGCATATTTGCAGTTCTCCTGAATGTTGCGATGTACCTAACAATTTAAACGCATCAGACGGAGACAACTTTCCATATAGCTACATTTTTGAATCCCATGACGACGACCTTCATAGTACACCTTTAGATTATAGTTTAAGAAAAAATAAAATATATCATTCAACTGCACCTTATGAATTTAGTCCAAAGAAACTAAAGCGATATCTGCGTGAAAAATATTTAGAGCTTGACAGACTCGGTATTACAATTGACGAGAACGGATATTTTCTTGAGGAAAAAATGAACATGGTGATATGAGATAATGAGCAATATATCGCAAAATAAATTAGATTTATATTTTTTGTATATGTACATAAACAAATATATTAACAAATTTTTTATAAACTTTCATGTATTTTTGTATTAAAACAGTGATTAAAATAAGTCGTCATGCTTGAGACTAAAAATTTTATAGTAATTTTGTATTCATCTCAAAGGGTTATTCAAGAATTTTTGTTCAAGACCCAATAAGAAAATCACGTTGGGATAACGTTATACCAACGTGTTCCTTATCGTTGGAAAGAGGTTGGCATGATGTTATAAATGAAACAGCGGAAAAACGTCATTTTGCTAATGTTATTGCAACGATATAAAATGAAGTTGTAACAATGTTAAATTTGAGCTAAATGACGTTGGAAAGGCGTTAGAACAACGTTAAATTTTAAGAATTAAGAATAATAAACTGCAAATCGTTTAGCAACATCATCTGAAATAGAAAAAAATAATCCCCTAATAAAATTCCAAAACTAATGAAACTGCTCCTCAAAAATATTTTTGATAAATAAATAAACAAAATTTATTAAAATCACACAATCATGACATTGGAGAAAAAATATATTCCTAGTTTTACCATTAAAAGGTACATCTTTGTGGTTGAGTTCAGATTTCTGTAAGGTTTTTTTTTACAGGGGTTATTTTGGCAAAGACAATATATTTTCTTATAACTTGAATTGCATGGTACAATAAAGAAACTGAAGTAGTACATTTCCACAAAGTGGAGAATCGAACATCGTTTTAATAAATAGCTCTCTTTAACACTAGTGATTACTTTGATAGGTGTTTTTTTTCTTCCAATCCGCACAACATATATTTCACTTAAACGTTTGGTCATTTGAGCAAGTGGCATCTTCTTACCAAAAATCAATAATTTCAGGCTCAACAATTTTTAAATGAAAAGGCAGACATACCAAGAAACGGTCATTCAAAAAGTTATAACAAATGAATGTTATGTAAATTGTTGAACCATAATAATTCACAGCCTTAATAATCTAGTCCTTATAATTCAGCCTTAATAATCTAGTCCTTATAATTCATCCAAACCAATTTAATAGCATCAATGCATTGATGCTGTTAATTTGTAGTTTGGTCCCTGATAAACACTTGTTAAATAGTTTTGAAAGGACAGCTCCGGAGAGCACTTCTGCAAGACCATAACAGATATGTTGTCTAGACCACATAGCTGTAGAAGAGTCTAAGTAGGATAATAATTTAGAGACAGTAGATGGAGTGATACAAATGTCAAGTAATGGATCAACCTGTTTGTTTGCTATATCAGGTAAGTAATGGATCAATCTGTTTGTTTGCTAATCGACTTTTGGTGATAACAGAAATCAATACAATTTGCGTAAATTTATATGCAGTTATTAGCGGCTATCATCTAATTAAAACGCTATTAAATTCTATGCGTTGTTAAAATAATATCACGCATGAAAACCAAATTTTGGTGCTAAAACAATGAAACTAATTTTTTCATAAAGAAAAATATGTTAGCTCAAAATCCAATTCATTTTTTTGTTTGAAAAACAATGGGTAGAAACATTTAGTTTTGACTTAATTAAAAGATGCCAGTTTTGTGTAATATGAGCATGCTTAAATCAATCGTTGAAATTACCTAGTTTAAAGTCGTAAAATAGCAGTGTACTTTTTTTTTAATTTTATTTTAGTTGCTCCAAGAAGTCCTTACGGTCTTATCACAGACCGCGAATGAGCATTTAATAGAAAGTTTAATAGAAACTTCCTTCCCAACCGATGTCGCTAAACTTGCCCAGGGTTAGGGTTTGAATCACGGATACTTTGTTTCTGAGGCAAGTACGCCACAACTTCGCTACGGCTGAAAAAATAACGAACTAATTCTTTTTTTTTTTTTTGCGGAAAAAAAAAAGGTTTCAGTAGTATTGTTTTAACAAAACGTGGTTCAAAATTTGATCTTTTAATGATAAGTTTTATTAATAACGAATCATTGTATTTCATAAATTAGTTCTAATTGCCAGATTGGTATTTTTTTAATTAACTAATGTTAAATTTTGAGCTAATTTAAAGTGCTCATATTACCAAGTGGTCTTGGTAAAATGAACACTTTTGCTACTTTTTTAAAACCTGTGCTTTTAAGAAACAATTCCGGGTGCCCAAATATCTAAGTAGATTATGAGTAGGGATGCCTAAATATTGTTTATCCGCAAAAGTTTCGGATCCTGCATAATTATTTTTGACAATATTTCAATTTTCTTTTAAGGTGCTCATATTACCCTAATCTACCATACTGGTATGCTACTCTTTAAAATCCATCTTCGCTAAAAAAAAAAAAAAGGTAGTTACTTTCGCCGAATAAAAGACATTTTTAACAATTAACTTGTTAATGCAAAAGTAATATAGAAAAGTATTTTATTATAACTATAGTATGACAACAGTACATTTTAAAACAGCGTGGTGTTAAAAAATTTAATTAGAGATTCCTTTTGTTTTTGAAAATTAGCATAAATATAGATTCAACTTTCTACAATGTTTATCGTACCTGTTTAAACCTTTGCACAGTAGTACATCCGATTAAATCGATTTAAAAATTTTTAAATTAGAATCAACTTATTGTTTTGTTTCTTAATTAAAAATTATTCGCGGAAATGAAAAGCGAAAACTTTACAGTATTGCTGGGTTGATAATGCTATACACAAATGTTTGTGAAACTTTTTTTCACGCTTAATTAAAAAAACTAAATTAATTTGAGGTTATTATTTTTCTATTATTCTAAAACAATTGAAACATTGATTTTATTGAAATGTAGGTCGGCAAAGCAGCGAAGATAAGTGAACATCGAGTTGAATTATTTAGTAAGCAGCGTATATGTTGTCTTTCCTAAAAACAAAAACAAAAAAAATCACTGTCCACCCGAAAAAAAACAAATCATTTTTATATCAAGCAAAACTTAATAAGGTAGTTAAAATTCGATATAAAAGTCCGAATTCGATATAAAAATCTCGATTAAATGTGTTTTTAAAATCCGAATTCGGCTTTTAGCTAGATTCGATTTAAAAGTCTAAATTCGCTTTCAGTTTTTCGATTACAATTCGGGGTACACATGTGGGCTAATTTCGACTTCCAGTTAAATTCGGTGTACGCATATGGTGTAAATTCGGGTCTTGATCAACTTCAACTTCACCGCTCCTTAATACAAAAGCTTCTCCAATACTAAAAAATCTTTGTTCCGTTTTCCAAGTAAAATTATTACAATCTAATAAGTTCTATAACATATTTTGATAAACTTGAGTTCCAAATTATATTTATACTCAAAAATATGAGATCAAAGATTTTTACCGCTTTAAATCATACCTCCCCATCCCACAGTATGCCCAGGACATGAAAAAATTCATTTTTCTGACTTTTTATTTTAGTGCAAAATTTTTTTTTGAAACTCATTAAACTATTTTGTTTTTATAGCTGTTTGAAGTTCAATAAAAAAGTGACGCTAAATATTTATCTTAAAATTGTACCAATACTGTTTTTTAACAATAGCTTTGAAATGCTATACATCAAAAGCTACTCCATTAATTAAAAAAAAAATTTTTATGTATAAATAATATTTAATTTGCAAATTACTTAAAGAAAAATAAAAAATTGAAATTTAAACATTTGTTTTGTGCAGTTTTGTTTGTACCTAAAAAAATTCTAACTTATATGAAAATATATTTATTTGAATAAAACCAAAGCAACGGGAAAAAATTTTTATTTCAATTTCGGCATCATCCAGGGGTAATATAGAAGAAGAGGGAGCTTCAAAAACTTAAAGAGGACGGAAATCCAAAAGACTAGAGTAAAAATTTAGCTGTTGACATTTACTTGAATCTCTTAAGCATCATGTTATTTAAGACACCTCGTAGCTATTTTTTTAGCTTTTCATAATACATTATCATTTAATTCAGTGATTAACCTGAAAAACCTACAACATAATTCTGTACCTACAACAAAATTCTGGATGATTTTGTGGACATAATGCAAGTGAACCGGTGTAGTATGAGATTTTTACTCCCGTGTTTTTTTTACTCCCCAGTAAAAATATCGTATGAAGTTTTTACCGCGGAGTAAAAAAAAATATCGTATGAAGTTTTTACCGCGGAGTAAAAAAAAATATCGTATGAAGTTTTTACCGCGGAGTAAAAAAAAGCATATGAGATTTTTACTCTCACTATTTTATTTTTACTCTCAAATTATTAGCGGAATTGCATATCAATAAAACATGCACTCTAGATTTGCAGACATTTTTAGTTACTTAAAATACCAAATATATCCAAAAGAAGTTTTAAATAAAGGCGATAAAGCCAATTTTAGAAGACAAACTAAGCCATTTATAGTTGATAATAATGAGTTATATCATTTAAATAAAGCTGCAAAGGTATGCTATTATTTCAAAATGTTTTAATAGTTTTGCCATTTTGCAACTAGAATCTAGTCACCAAATAAACACGAATACTTACAAATAATTTATTTAATAAATAATGAAAATTAATTTAGTTTTGATTCTCATTATATTGATGGTTTACAGCTTCTTTTTTTTATAGAGAAAAGTTATTTGGAGTAGAGATGAACAACAAAACATAATAAAGTTTGTTCATGAAGGAAACGATGTCTCTGTTGAGTCTAAAGCTTTATCTGGTCATACAGGTATTAATAACACAACCTATCACATTCAAAGTAGATTTTTCTGGTGTGGAATGATAAAAGATATTACAACTTATGTTTCCAAATGTGACCAATGCCAAAAGTCAAAGAACAGAAAACTTCAGTCGAAACCATTGCTGCAAAATATTTCAATTCCTAAAGGCAATATGAAGCAGGTAGGAATCGATTTAACACAGCTACCAGAAGTTAACGGTTGCAAATATCTGGTGGTATTAATCAACTACTTCAGTAAATGGGTTGAAGCAGAAGCACTTACCGATAAAACTGCTAAAGCTGTGGCTTTTTTTTTGTATAAACAGATTTGTCGACATGGCTGTTTTGAAATTCAAATAAATGACCAAGGTCGTGAGTTTGTAAATGAAATTTCTAAAGAACTTTACTCAAAAACAGGAACAATTCAAAGAATTACAAGTGCATATCATCCTCAAGCTAATGGATTAGTAGAGAGACAAAATCAAACAATTAAACGTATATTAGTAAAAGTGCTTGATGAGGCTGCTTTGGAATGGCCATACATTATTGATAGTGTTTTGTTTTCTTTAAGAGTTAGAAAGCACAAATCTACTGGGTTTTCACCGTTTGCATTGCTTTACCAAAGGGAAGCAGTTCTTCCTATTGATATAGATTGCAATTTAATTGACTTTAATGATAGTAACGCTCTTAGCAATGATGATTTCTCTAACAAAAAAATAGTTTCAGATACCTTTCATGCAATGAATAAAATGAAGAATAAAATTTTTGACGATGCTTATAAAAATATTGAAAAATCTCAAAAAAGACAAAAACATGATTACGACAAGAGAATTGCACCAAATAATGAAATTAGCATAAATAAAAAAGTGTTACTAAGAAATAGCAGACGTGATGATAGAAAAGGTGGTAAACTTGTAAAGCCTTGGACTGGACCATACATTGTAACTTTTATTTCTAGCACAAATAACTGCACTTTGAAAAAACTAAAGGGTCAAATTTTGAAAACAAAGTACAACTTGACAAAGTTATGTTTATATAATGAAAAAATAACTAATGATGAACAAGAAATCAAATTTGATGAAATTAATATGCAAATTTCTAATGATAAGATCGGAAAATATGCAACTATTGAAATGAGAACTTCTATTTCTGAAAAATTTGGAATTGGTATTACCAAAAATATTTTTATTGCAGATATTAATCTACTTTCACGTCCGAAACAAATTCACAAAAACATAGGCGATGGTAATTGCTTTTTTAGGGCAATATCGTATATCATTACAGGCAGTGAATGCAGTTATGAAATTATAAGAGAAAAAGTTGTTAAACATATGTGTACTCATATTAATAATGAAATGACTTTATATATGAATCAATCAATAATAACGCATCTAAATGAAAGTGGTATAAGTGATAACACAACTTGGGCAACTGATGCAGAAATAATTGGGTGTTCCTCGTTCATGGGTATTGATATAAAAGTATATAGCAAATATGGAGAGAAGTTGAAATGGCTGACTTACCCATGTAGTTTAACACTTACACAGCTTAGTGAACATGCTATATTCCTTGACAATTCAACTGCAAGTCACTTTAATGTTGTACTGTTGTAAAATATTATCAAAAAAAAAAAAAATAATTTATAAATTATCTTCTTTTCATAATTTTTAGACATTTTTTAAATATATTTTTATTTTAAGTCTGTAAACAAATGTTTTAAAAACGTAAAAATAAGCGAATTTACAGCGGTATGTAGGAGAAGGAATAAAAATGTTTGTCTTTTTAAATTTGGTGGCAATACTTTTTTATATGCCTGACTGATTCCACATTAGTTAAGCGAAAGCAAAGAATCCAGAAATAAACCTATATAACAATATGTGTTTAATTAAAAAAAAATCTTAACCCTATCTGATACATAGGGTAACCTACGATAAATTTTTTTTTTTTTTTTGCAGATGTGAATTGTTAAATAAAAAAAATCAGAAAGAAATAAAAAGCTGCGATATTCAGATTCTGCAGGTTAGCAAGGTAAACTTGTTGTTTAGAAAACTCCTTTTCTAACAAGTTTGCAACAAGTACCATAGCCTAATAGTAAAATAAAACAATTTTGGATATTCCCCTTCATTTTTTAATAAAACATGTACACATTTTGATCAAACAAGTACTTGCATATTCTATGATCTTTAAGTTTAAAAAAGATTATCTGTAAAATTTATATTTTCACCGTTTATTTAAAATAATATAAGAAATTTTACTCCCACTAAAATGTAGAAAATAAATTAAGTTAAAAAAGTTTATTAAAAGCTTAACTTTTATAAAATATATTAATTAAGCACTATATTAACATAACGGTAAAAATATCTAATGAGAGTAAAAATCTCATAAGGGAGTAAAAATTTCATACGCATTTTTTACTCCGCGGTACAAATTTCATATAAAATTTTTTTAGGGGAGTAAAAAAATAATGGGAGTAAAAATCTCATACTACACCGGGAGTAGATAACTCAGAATACTTAAAAGAAGTTATCCAAAAATGTGAAAGATGGGGAAGGAGGAAGGAGGAAAACTTCTAACAACATCAGTAGAGGAAGCAACTGCTTTAATCTACAACATGGATCTATCTATAATAAATATCAGGTAAAATATGCAATTAAATACTATTGCAACTAATTGTTTTTATAATTGTACGTGTGAGTACAGAGTGTAAAGGAGTATTTTAAACCAACTTTGTGTCAACTGCCTAAAAATGAAACTCAGCCTGTTTCAGAAAATGGTTTACAAATATTTGTAAAAACAGAAATAAGTATGGTTGATGGCAAAATGGTAGACTTATTGGTGTGCGATTTTGAAGCTTTTTGTCACTACTGTAATTGTTCCAGAAGTGAAGCCAATGACCTGTATGTATACTACATGGGTTCACCATAGATAAAAACTATAATGATGTGCTCAGTACTTGGAAAAGACTAGAAAATGGCAAAATCTCTTTCAAAGATGCTGAAAGACATGGACAATGCCATGAACCTATTGTTTAATCAGATGTAAAAATTTATGCCATTCTATATCAAAAGCTACGTGCACTTAACCACTGTCTGAAGTTGTTATATCATATTGTGAGCCAACAAACCCATACATGGTCTGAACAGGAAATAAGGGTAAAAACTACTCTAAAGACAGCATAAAGAAAAGTTATTAAAAATGTACGTGAGAAAACAGGAATGCTCCTTGATTCCTCTACTTCTAGTGGTGGTAACACTAACAATGGACCAATAGCAGATCATTTTTTAGTCCAAAAGAAAGAAAGTCAATCTGTTCTGTAATTCTTAAAACAGACCAAGATAGCTTTTCAGTTTTGTTATCTAACTTCAATATACTCCTAAGAATTAATCTGCATGTTGATGTTAACAGAAAAGTTGATCCTGATAAAGTTAAAGAAGTTGGTTATGGATTGATGATATTCCATAAACAGACGTTTCCATAGTTGCAAATAAACAGACGTTTTGAGCAATCAGGCAAAAATTGGAATAAATACTTTAGGGCTTATAAATCAGGAATAAGTTGTAAAGCAAGACAGATGTCTTTACAAATTAATACACATGATGTTTACTGCAGACCGATAATAAGAACACATCCAATGATTGCTAGTAAAAAAAGACTTTAGCAATGTGGAACATGTTAAAAATTTGGACATACCACAAGAAGGTGTAAAATAGTTGTAAATAACATATTTAGTGACAAAAAAAATGATAATTCAAGAATGTTTTCTGTGACCATATAAAATCAATAAGACTTATATCTGTGTATATTTGTGTTTAATATTAAATTATTATGAACTCAAATATATTTCATTTTGAATTGGATATGATATCCTTTTCTAAAAGTTATATTAGCCTGAAATTACCCATATAATAGTTATGCCGCATCCCAGAATCTAGTTGACCCTAAAACAACCTAGCCAGCTATTAGCTTGAAGACAAATTTTTTTTAATTTTGTTAATTTCAAAAATTTAAAGAAAGTAAGGGCATGACTCAAGGCGCCCCTCCCCCTTCCCCACCATTACCCATTCTCTGTGTCAGAGTGCACACACTAAAGTAAAGTTTAACCTCAGAATCAGATTCTTTGACCCAAAAAAGTAATATACTAAAATTTTCACAAGATTTCATTAACAATTAACAGATTTATGAATTTTTTCCAATAAGCCACATTCAGGGTACACTGTGCATCCCCTTTAACCCTCTCAAAAATAAATAAATTAAAAAAAAAATTATTTAGATATATGGTTAGTTTGTTTATAACTAGATCCACCTTATTTTATGCATCACATAAACTTAACTTTGTGTATTTTAAAAAATAGTTTCACATATCAACTATTTTACTATTGGGAGTAAAAACATTATTTTAATATTTTAAAATCTTAAAGAATTCTTTTCAAAACTGTTATACACTTAAAAAATAAAACTTTTTTAGAAATTTAAAAAGAAAAAAACTTGCTAAAGAATTTTGATTTTTTATGTTCCTAACAACAAAATACTGAAACATAATTTGGTAGGGGGCATTTAAAAAAAAAAAAAAAACTTTAAAAGTTTAAATTTAATAAATTTTAAAAGTTTAATTCATGATTTTGCTAAGAGAAAAAAGAAAAAAAATTAAGTTTTTTTTCTTTTTTTTTCTCCAAGCAAAATTATGAATTAAACTTTTAAACTTAAGTTCATTCTGAATTTTTGTTCAGTGTAAAGTATGGCAATATTTCTTAATCACAGGATATTCATTGAAAATATTAGATTTTTTTTGAATTGATTTTAAATCAATTTCATATTGGAAACTTCTCTCACAACTTGGATCACTCTGTCAAGGGACAAAAACATCTTCTTAGCTTATTTTTATATGACAATGCAGCATTCTGTGATTCCTACCTGCTATATATATTTTTTGACATTCTCAATCTATGACTAAACCCTGAATTAGCCACATAATACATGTAAAAACAACCAATAAAAAAATAGATGGTAGCATAAGTTGGTGTAAAGACTTTAATAAACTTGAAACACAAATTTCTAGCACAATGCAAAATGCTTATTTTAACTTTGACTGACAGCGGTAAAACTTTTTTTCACACAAAAAAAAAAAATAGTATTAATAATTTATTTTAATAACATTACTGGTAATGTTTTAGATTGCTTAGAGAAATACTGCAATATTTACCATATGAAAGCTACTTAAATTATTGAGAAATACCTTATAGTAATAATATATATAAATATATAAGAAATTTAATAAAATCTGTTTCAAAAAACAGATGGAAAGTTCTTTTTGTTCTAAAAATCTATAGAGCTCCATAGGATTTTTAACTAAAGGTTTGACTGTTTTTACTCTAATGGTTTGAGGTAAGTTTTAATGATCTTTAAAGACAGCCACAGACTGTTTTTAAATCTCAAAAAAAATAAAAACCTTGTATTTATTTAATTACTACCGACAAAAAAAAAACATTTTATGACTTCTTGAAATCATTAAAAAATATAACTAAAACTAACATTCTTGAAACCATTAAAATGTAGAAATAAAACTTACATTCTTGAAAGATTTTTTTTATTGTATTCTTCTTGATAATCAGTGCACTAGAAAAAAACCATAACTTAAAAATTTAAAACTTAATTTTCAAGAAGTGGTGACAAGAAGACTACTGGAATTATAATAAAACCATAAACTATATTATGTAATCACAAATATTTTAACCAAACTACTGGAATTAACCAAAATAAACTTACATAAAATTTATTTAGTTTTTGTTTGTCAGAGTCACTAAGAAACTCCCTTTGACCAATTGTAATATCTTTTCTACCAATCACTTCTATTGTTTTTAGGCCATTTTTTGAGAAATAATTATCTCCATAATGCATTATAGAAGCTAAATCATAGCTAAGAAAAAAAAAGACAACTTATGATTAAATTTAAATTTTTCATATTTCCTAGTAATAATGTAAATAAACTAACTGCAAATAAATGTTTAAAAGTAAGTGGCTGCATAACTTTTATACATGGCCATTTGTTGTTTTAGCTCTTTAACTTCAAAACACAACTTTTAACAAACAAAGCTGCTGCGCTGAGAAAGTTGAGCATAATACCTCCGAAAATGTGGTGGAGATAAAGAGTTAGCATTTAATGCAATAAATAAAAATAAAAAAATTCTCAGTAATACATATTTGAATTTCCAAAACATATATATATATTATATATATATATATATATATATATATATATATATATATATATATATATATATATATATATATATATATATATTTCATGATTTAAAATGAAGAACATTTAGAATTAAAAGTAATATAAACTGAAGAATAGTTACTTAATTTTTTAAACTTACAATCTTACCAACTTACAGCTCATTCAATAAGATCATAAGATTCATAAAGTGTTAATTGACCGAAAATTCATCAAGGTTTGTAGTTTTGACTTTTTTTTAAAAATCAGATAACTTACCCTACTATATTAAACATTTTCAATGGTTTTTTCTATGTTATAAATGACAAAACTTGTCAAACTTAGTTATTAGTAAAGTTGGATTGCATATTGGTATGGATCTTATTACTAAGGATGACTATAAGTAATCACTAAGAATAGATTTTTGAAAGTTGAACTGAATAAATACTAACAAAAAATTTGCAGCACATAAAATAATTTTTTTTTTTTAATCTCGCATCTTTCATACAACTAATACATAAAAAAAGTTAACTACATATGTAAATACAAACTTATTTGATAAAAATAACATTTTATGCAATAGCCTATTGTATAGATAGCTCTATTTTTTTTAATTAGAAACCATAACAACTGAAGTTGTTGAGTTTTGAACATCTGCTAGTTAAACAGAAGCTGAAACAGGGCGGCCAATTAAAATTTTGATTTTCAGTAAAAAGTTTTCAGTAATTTTTATAAACATCAACATATGAATTACAAATTGAATCGATTCACAGACTCAGAATTAAGTATAATAAATGACTTGTAGTGTGCCAAGTGTAATAAATGATTTAAACCAATTAACAAAGCATAAAGAAACATGTTTTAATATTAATGATAATTCTAACCTTTATAAAGAAAATCTTGGACAACAAGGTCTCCATCTAAACACACGAGTTTAGGGTAGGTTAGTTATGAATTTTATTTTTTATTTGAAGTTTATTTAATATTTACCCCTTATCTATAGTTTATAATCACCAAACAAACTTACATACCCCAAATGAAAAAAATTTGTCATCACCCCAATTAAAGAAATTTGTCATAAGTCTGATTTGGACTTACGATTAACTTCTTTAATTGGGGTTATGTTAAAGGTTAAACTAAGTGCTAAATAAGTCTAGCTTTCATCAATATTAATTCTGTACGTAATAAATTCACAGATATAACTACTTTCATAAATAACACTGTTGATGTGCTTATGTTTGGTGAAACTAATTAGATTTCTTTTCTCTTTTGGTACTGGTAAGTTTTTATATACAGGTTATAAAACTCCCTATTGCCTTGATATATCTCATCAATACTGAGGGCTTCTTGTGTATATAAATGAAAACATTACATCAAGAAAATTAAATTGCGTAGTCCTACCTAATGATGCTTAAATATTTGAAATTAAACTAAGAATGCAGAAAGGGCTAATTATTGCTATTAATAAACCACCATAACAGAACAATGATTATTTTTTCACCTTAGAGAAACCCTTGAATTTTACTTATTATATCATTGAATTTTACTTATTATATCGGAAAATTGTTTTGGTAAAATATCTGGAAAATATATGGAAAAAATATGGAAAAAACTTTCCACTTAATTTTACTTTTAACTGAGTTGTTTCTAATTTTTTTTTCTTCAAAGTTTTCTTTATTTTTCTATAAGGGATGAGTGAAAAACTTAAAAAACAAATATATCACAAAAATTATACCTAAACTTGTATGTATAGAAAATGTTTTGGATATCCGGAAAAACTAAAGGTTAAAAAATTATCCAGAATTCCGGAAAAATCCTGAAAAAGATAATCTCTGATAGATCTCATCCTTACAAATAAAAAGATACGTTTTTTTCTAACATTCTAAGACTATCTGTACGGGTTTTAGTGACCATCCCAAGCTAATTTATACAATGTTCAGGTCTACCATTTGCAAGTTATCTACAAAAAAATGATTTACAAGTCTTTTATAAACTATTAAAGTAATAATTTTTCTGAAAAGAAAAAATAAGATTTTGTAATTGAGAGAATTGAATCTTTTGTGAATCTCGACAAATCTATACACCCCAAAAAAACTAAAATTTTAAGAGGCAATGATAAGCCATTTATGACACATAAAGAACATCACAAAAAAACATCACATAAAGAGGCAATGATAAGCCATTTATGACAAGGATTTTAGAAAAGCAATTGAGCTTCACTCAAAATTAAAAAAAATATATATTTAAAAATCAGATATATTTTTTTGTCTCACTACTGGAATCAAAGGAACTATGTGGTGAAATTGAATAAAAAACCAAAGAAAATTTTGATGATGCAAATTTATTCAAGTGTTCCTCCACATCTCTGTAAAAGGTATGCAAGCCTTTTCTCTCAAACTAATCTGGAAATTCAAATGAGTGTATAACGTTGATTGAACATGGGGAAACTATATCAGATAACTTTTAACTGTCAAACATTTTCAACTTGTATTTCAAAAACATTGTATCATCTCTTATAAATAGTCATGTGATTTATTGGCCTTTTTCTTGCAATGTACAGGAATCTGTTGAATCTGCTATTATAAGATATGCAAACCATCCTAGTTCCTTTTTTAAAAATGGCTGAGGTCATTCCATATTTCCAAAAAAATGACCCATCAGATAAGTCTAACTACAGCCAAATAAGTATTCTGCCAGCTCTGTTAAAAGTCTTTGAAAGTTATTTATAAGCAAATGCTGATATTTATCGAGCCAATCTTAACGAACTAATGTGTGGATTTCAGAGAAGGGTACAGTTTGTTAAGGCTTGGCACAATAACTCAATGAATCAAATCCATAAATTTTGAAAAAATAAATAAACATTGAAACAACGACACCTCCTTTATCCAAACATTATTGCCACTTTTTATGAAAATTAAAAAGCGGCAAGAAAATTTGAATAAAATTTGCATAAAGGAGGAGTTAATTAAATAATTTTTTTTCAGCTAAGGTTTATAACCTTTTATAGTTTATAATCTTTTATATAGGTTCTTATAGTTGCATAATATATATAACTATTTTGAAATAGTAACTTAAAAAACAACCTTTTAACAACTAGCAACTAGCCCCGGTTTCTCTTACCCATGTTTGGAAGAAATGCATTTTTTAAAGTATTATTAGACATCTACAGTAACACTTCACAAAAGTTGTAGACAAAAATATTGTAAATAAAAGTATTGTAGGTAAAAAAATTGGTTAAAAAAAGCTGTATCTAAAAGAAAATAATGTCAACTGCTTAAATGAATAGATAATTCATTTGACCCAGACTTCATACTTGATAATTGTCATTTTAAATTTTTTTGATTAACCTTATTTTTAACTTGTTATCTGAATGTATTTTACTTATTTTGGGTCCCTGTTCTAGGAAAAAATATTTATACCAAAGATCCAAGATTTGATCAAAAAGATGTTGGTGGTTAGGCAAAGTATTAGGGTCCTTCTTGGGTCTGTTTGCTTTAATATTTGTATTTATAATATCAATCAGATTCAGTTTGTTAATTTTTAAAGAAAGTTTCTAAATATTGCATAAATATTAAATTCCTTTTTAAAGATTTTTTGAAAACTGCAACAGCAACAGCTAATTTAATGACTATGGAAAATTAAAACCTGATTAATGATCTAGAGTATTAAAAGGTTAAAAGCTGTTCTTGAAATTACAAGTTCTACCACTGGTGTAGACATGGTTCATCTGTCAAATTAAAAAAGCTTTTCAGATGTACAATTTTTATAGTTTTTGTTCACTTCGGCATATTATATCATTTATATAGACTAGAACTATATTCAAAGTTAAGGCAACTATGCCTTTGAACTTTAAAGCTGATGTTTGAACTAGCTAGGTTAAAGATTTTTTACACTTCAGTTTTCGTTTTCTTAAATGAGTTACAACAAGCTATTCAAACTAGTTCTAAATAATTTTTTACTGATATGCTAAATAATTCTCAATCAATAAAAAGAGCTGTAAACTCTTGGTGTCTGTTAAACTTTCAAGATGTATATCCCTGATTTTTCTCTAATATTTCCCTGATCCACTACACAATTTCCTTGGTTTAATTTAAAACTACTCAAATTCAACCTCAGAAAAATTCGACTTGGATTATTTTTAGAAAAATGCTCTTCAATTGCAAAAAAATAAACATTAATACAACCCACATTTAAAATATCAAAAGAAGTTCATAAAACTATCTGCTGAATAAAATTTTATATTAAATGTACAATGTACAACTTACATAAGTTACATAAATATAGAAGAGCAATTTTCCCAAATTTCTACCAGATTTTTCTAAAATTCAATCCAATTTCCCTGATATTTCCTAGAATTTTTAGCAGATATCTGATTTTTCTGACTTTTCCCTGTTTTCCTTGATCTGGCAGACATCCTGTAAAATTCACATCTGGAAAGGTTTATGATATAGTGAAGAGATATGATATAATTCTAGTTAAAAACCAGAGCAGAACAAGAGAAATGTGATTATAAATCAAAATATAGTCTTTCTTCTGAGTTCAAATTTTATAATACATACATATATATATATATATATATATATATATATATACATATATATATATATATATATATATATATATATATATATATATATATATATATATATATATATATATATATATATATATATATATATATATATATATATATTGAAATC